AAGTGTCTTCTTGAGGGTTTTTTCAAAACTTCCGGGGTCTGGACCCTCGCTTTCACAGGCCCCTCTACTCGTTTAAAGCTTTCCTTTCAACTTCTGCCTTCTGGGTACGCGGACGGTTGTTTTCAAATTTCCTTTTTGGGCCTTGACCTTCGAGCTTCGATGAGTTAGCTTGATAGCTCTTTCCCCCATAAGAGCGGTTTGCATTTATGGTCTGCTCATTTGAAATTGCCTTCGGATACTTTGAGATACTTTGAGAATACGATGCCCCTCTAGCTTTTTCCGCTATTCTGCGATTTTGGAAACTTGACCGCCAATTCGAAGAGCTCCTGCAATGTGCTTGGGTTTCTAATTTCGAAGTAGTCTTGAACAGCAGGTAACAATCTTGGTAAGATTATTTCAATAATCTCCGCGTCGGGTTTCTTCCCATACAGCATATCCGTCAGCTTAATTTTTCGCAGAATAAAGTCCGTCAACTCTTCTATATTCCGTTGATAAAAACTATATAGTTCGGCTTCTAGCCTTGCTCGATCTTTCACTATGGGGAAGGCCTTTAATAACGATTTTTTTTTTTTGAAATTTTCAAATGTATATGTCTGGCCTCCGAATTCCCCTAATAAAAATTTGCCTATATTCTTCCACCATAGCGCGGCCTGTCCTCTTAGTGCAGATGTGGCGATGGCAACTTTTTGTCTTTCAGGCACAGGGTAGAGCTGGAAGTGATTGTCGAGGCCTTCTAGAAATATCGCCACCGAATTTTTTCCGTCGAAATTGACGTTTGGCTTGGCTTGATTGACGCTCTCGTCTGGACCAGGTATCCAAATCCTTCCAATTGGCTTGCCATTTCTTGTTGTTGTCCAGCAACTTCCATCCAATTTTCGGCCATTTCAGTTCGACAAGTGTTCGGGCGCCAATGTAATGTTGCGCGCTTCCAACCTGCACGCAACAATAGTGGTGACTGCTAAGAACTGGAAAGTAGACAAAGTCTTGAGAAGGGTTTAAATCCCTTTTTATTCAACTTTAGAAATTACAAATGCGTGCTCTTGACGCTCACAAACTACGCCGACCCGGCGGTAAAATAAAAATAAGAAACTAAAAAAGAATAATAACAAGTGACTAACTACGAGGCTCTCTAAACGTAACTAACCTCACCGCGTTCTAAGATACCGCTGATAATTCAGCAAACTTCTGAATATTACGTTGAAAGATTAACAATCTGCCGAGGCAAGCACACAGGCCGAAACGCGTGGTTCTTCAATTTCTAACTAGCCACCTCCACGCTCGTGAAGCAAGAAAGCACACCTTCGAACTCGTTTCCCTTCTATTTAACTCAGATTACTTCCGCTGATAATTTGAATCCTTGCGCGTTCTACTAAAATTTACATACTCTGGCATTGGCAATTCCAGGGGAAAGTAAGGCTTGACAGGAAAGATAATTTAAACTTAAAATAAATGTTAGTTAAAATAAATATAAACCCTACAATCTGACTGAAAGTGACATTAGTGCTCTACCTGGATTCCCCACACTAAGTGACGTTGATGCAGCAATCACAGACTTTTATACAGAACATCATTGAATAAATGTATCAGCAATACTTTCATTATGGCACAGTGCCCAAAAGATCTAATTCTTCTTGATTCTATTATAGATGTAATCAAGCATAAAAATAGAATCCATAAACTCTAGATTGAAATTAGAAAGTCTGAATATAAAAGGCAATTTAACTCTATGCAAAGGCATATTAAAGATTAGTGCCAGGAATATGAATTAATAGCATGGAACGTGTCAGTTTTCTAGCGACAAAAGACAACTCCATGTGGAAACTCTTCAAGGAACCTATTCAAGGAACTAAGAAACAAAAGGGAACACATCAGACCTATTATGAGGCCCCCTGACATGAACTATATACAATCGGCATGGTCAATGCTATTTGGCGGCAGTATAGAACTCTAGTTTTTCTCTGTGTCTGAAGACATAAACATTGATTTTTAGGAGGAAACTGATGAATTTGTCTCTAATTATCTGATAAATCTCCTTATGGATCAGCTGTTTTTTTACAACGCCTACCTAAATTAGGATTTTGATCAAACTGCTACATCCTAGAAAAAACAATGTTTAGGATGTAAATAAGTTAATAGATTTAAGTGCAGATATCTTGAATTCGAGAGGCAGCCTTTGGTAACTATTGTTGACTGGTCATTCTGTTATAACTCTCTGCTGCTGAGTTAACTATCGGCTTTGCTTTGCTAGCTGCAGCTGGTGCATGCAATATGAGGCTCAGATAAAGCTTACTTAGGGGCGCTTTACTTTAAATTACGTGTTTTAATTTCACCGGAACTTTTATTCTACGTTTTCACGCAAGTAACAGAGATTTCATTTTCTGTTATGGTTATCAATTTTACGTAACTGTCAGGCAGACACCACAATGAGAATGTTTATTTTAAACCTTCATCTTAATTTGCGGTTACAACTTAGAAAGAACGATGACACAATAAGTCTCCTATCTCTCTTTATGGTTCTAGGAACTGGCTCTTCAGAATAATGTCGAACCGCACATTTGTTAACTCTTTATCCTTTGAATTCACTTACAATTACAATTTAACCAAATTATACTAAACACCTTGAAGAGGATCTCTTTAAACTGTTTATTATACTCATTTCGTGCATTTCGTTTTCTGCCAAAACAGAAAGTGTTGCCACTTCATTTGGGAGGAATATTTCCTTCTAAATTTGTAAACAAGCGACCCTGCGAAACAAATGACGACGCTATCTTGAATAATTTGCTAACTGCATTTTTATTAGTAACTGCATTTTTATTACTAATAAAAATGCATAAACCTGCATGTGGCTTTAGACATCATCATTTTTAACAGCTTTATACCTAAAAGTGAAATATTATCATTTTAACAGTTCCTTTTTATTCTCTATACCTAATAATAATATTTATAAAGAACTAATTCTTAAACTATTAGGCCTATCACCATTTCTTAGCTTAAAATTATTTCAGATGTTTATTTGAAATCTTAGTCAAAATGAGACTACAATTTCTTTTTAACCTTACAACTTTTGTATTTTTTTTTTTTTTTTTTTTTTTTTTTTTTGTTTAAAGATATTTTAACCTTTGAAAACTGTAATAGTAGCTGCCTGAGGTGTTAAATTGGAATCCGAACTTTTCAGATTGCAGTTTTTTATTTATCTATTCAAAAGCAATCACATAGAGGGAAAATATAACTATTACAAAGCGAAAACCTTCTCTGCACTTTTGGCAATACACATATAGAGATCACATATTCTTCCACTAATAATTTCTTTGAAATCTAGAAAGACATTAATAAACATTATGCTGCAACATAATCTATAAAATATAACACAAATTTAATTTTTGGAAAGTCTTAATAAGCATTAGGAAAAAATTTTGAGTTTTCATTTTAATTTTTAACAGTTTCTAAGGAAGAAATACGCCAGAAGACAGAAATTGTCCAAAATGCCATCTAATAAAAAATTAATAGTATACAGTACTAAGATTTGCTTTCGAACAAATCCTGTTTCCTTAATATATAAGGGACAGGATATCCTTAAATGTCCTGTTTCCTTAATCTTTTCTCCATATATATATATTCCATAGGATTTAACTCCTGAGAATTTGTAGGAGCTGTGATAATTTCAGAGCAGTTGCATAATAAGCACAAATGAATATTTTAGGCTTAGGATTGTTATTCTGATAGAACTTGAATCTATTTCGCATTTCAAGTTTTATTGCGGTTGCCTTGAAGTTTAAGAATATTTATATGTTTATACTGATTCGTTCTATTTTCTATAAAAACTTAATTTTCCCATCCAGAGGCAACGAAACATCTCCATATTCCCTCCCATCCTTAACTGTCTCCACCTCCGTCCTTAACATCGAGGACTATGTTTTTTGGGTTCAGTTTTTTAGTCGATTTTTGTCTCAGAGTAATTCGTTCATTGAACCCAAATAGTATATTAAATATCGATTCGTATGAAAATATAAACTAGGCTCATATGAAATATTTTTTCTAAGCATCGATTTTGCGAAAGCCAGGCATATTTTCCTTGCTTTCTTCTTGATAAAAAATTTCCTTCTAGCTGATTACATATTGTATCCATATGGCCTACTGATTCTTTAACAACTTCAGGGTTAATTCTTATTACAACCCGTTCTTCTTAAAACCGCTGCGAGATTTATAGCACTAACTTTTGGATCTTGGTTTAGTTTTTCGCAGGATAAATCTCAGATTTCTACACATTAGATTGAATGTGGTCCCACTTTGGTACATTATCATCAGTTCTATTTATTTTTCATCGCTTTATGGTATCAAAGATATTTGAACGCTTTATATCAAGGATTTATGGGATATTTCGAATACTTTTTCTATCTCTCAGTGAAGGCACTTGCTAATTTGTAGTGTTTTGCCATATTCACTTCAAATATAAAAATATTAATGCATTTTGCTAAATAATAGCTTCCAAGTGTATGTAATAATTTGCGTGATATGATATTTCATTTAAAATTAAAAGGGTGACACACGAAACATCATATGCCGAAACAGTTTAATAAAATTTTCTAGTATCCGAATTATCATGTGAGTTAATGATTAGCACTTTACGAATCAATTCGTATACTATAATCACTATTCTGATGATTTGTTTTGCAACAAGTGAGTCTTCAGATTAAGCAGACAAAAAACGATGTATCAGAAAAAAATTAAAGTTTGTATTTCAATATGTTGCATAAGATCTGTTCAAACTGTCCAAAAGCAAATGTGAGCCACCGCTTACTATTGCTTGCCCGGAAAATGAATTAAAAATTAGTTTTATTCATTTAGTAACTGAAGTAAATGAATTATGAACCAAATCTCCAAAATAGTTAATTAAAATTTTTTATATAAATATTGCGAATTGTGCAAATTAAAAGCTCAATTATTTCAAATAAATTTTAAAAAGAGAGAATCAGTTTCAGATAATTAATTTTGAAGCTACATACACACAAAATATATACTTTTATTTAAACAAAACGTACATTAATAAACTAAAACATCAACAAAAATATCTATATATTAACTGCAACGAACATGCACTAAGATTAACAATAAATGCTTCAAAGTAATACATTTTGCCCACATCGTAAATAAAATATTTTCTTCACATAAGCATCACAGAAGCGTATACAGGTAAAAAGCTGATTCAGCACTTCTCATGTAAAAGATTTCAAATTTTAGAGCAAGTCATGAGCGGGAAAGTAAAAATACAGCAGACGAATTTAGTGCATTTTAGAAAAATTAAAAGAATCTGTTATGTCGTTTCTTTCAAAATTCAGATAATTAGCAAGATGTTTGCAGCATATCCTCTTGAAAGATTGGAAAGATGACATCTAGAAAAGAATTTCAACTACTTTCGGAATAAAGGTCTTCATCCATCGGCTGCAGTGAAATGCTGCAGTGAAATGCTCCAGAAGAAGGCATCGAAGAATGGCATCGCCGTCATTACACAAGATCTGGTGCATTTTTCAAAACAAAGAATGCTGATGTTGTTTGGGAAAAAACTGAAAGTGATGGGATTTACTTAGTATGGAGCTTCTCGTATAATCCGGCCATTCAGCGGCTGCACAGGTCGGCAGTTCTCTGTTACTTTACCCACAACGGGTTCTCCATTTACGTAAGCCTTCAAATTCGAGGAGTGAAGGACCTTAAACTTTTCAATCTGGAAAAGGTAAATATGAGTTGATCGAGTAAGTATCTGATATATATATTCAACATATTCGTAGCAATTAACAACTTAAAATGTTTCATTAACTATCTACCTAAAAGAAAATAAGACAGCCCAATGTATAAGAAACTTTATGTACTTAGATATATGTAATAGCTGCTTAAACGAAGGATTTGTAAATTACTCATTACTTTTTAATTAGTAAATGATAATCATAATTTATAAAATATATTTTAAAATCAGTTCGTATTATTAGGAAATAAATTTTAATTAGTATATCATGTGATAGCCTACCTGTTGTAGTTCAAATTTAGTAATTAATAATATTAGAATAAATAATGTAAAATTCCGTGTTAGAATATAAATTTTTAAATAAGTATTTTGAACTGGACCTTAATCTCTCAATAGAAGAGGAAAATGTCTATCATTATAATAACAAAAATTTTAATTAATATAAGAAATATGCTCTTGATCGCCATAAAGTTCGCTAATGATATGAAAGAGCAGTTATAACTGAATTTGAGGATATCAGAACAATGATATTTTTTTAGTTAATGCGTTTATACGCATGTAAAAATGTTTCTAATATTAAACAATTCATTTGAAATTTTTTATGAACCTCTCCTTCAAATATTAAAGTATCCAAAATCTCATTTTCCGGGTATAATAATTTTATGCTTAATTTTGCGTTTCAGATATTCAAAATAATATCGAAACTGCCCATGTTTTGTTAAGCTTCTATACCTTGAGATGAATTTCGGTTGCGAACTTGGCGTAGGAAATGATATTAATGTTCAGAGTATTTTCACTTAATACAGAAAATTTTAACTCGAACTGTCTTTACTCATAGTGGAGCAATATTAGGATTTCTCAGAAATACCCAATTAAAGGCGATGTTTCAAACGAATATAAAAGCAAAGTCCAAACCACACAATAATTTAAGCAGCTACAATTAATCATTTTCTAATTCATGGAGAAAATTACTCATAAACTTTGCACAGTTCAAGAGAAAATGGTAATATGAAAGAGGTTATTGGTTTCGCATGAGGAATTTAATGCATTAATTTACAAATGAATTAGAACATTAAATAACTAAATACAATAATAACAATTCCTAATGATGATGAATGCATTCATAAAGATAATGAATACATTCATCGTCGTTATAAATGTTATGGGAATCATTTCGTAAGATGCAGTACTAAGACAAGGTAATAAAATGTTTAGATGAATAAGTAATGTAATAAAATGAAGCTGGCTAATTGCATGATTCATCGTTATGAATGCATTCATAACGATAATGAATACATTCATCGTCATTATGACTGTTATGAGAATCATTTCGTAAGATGCGGTACTAAGATAAGGTAATAAAATGTTTAGATGAATAAGTAATATAATAAAAATAAAGGCAGCTAATTGACCTAAAGAAAAATTACAGGGTTTTCCAAAAGTACTTATCACATTTAAATTTATCCAACTGAATAAAGAGTAGAGATAATTTAGTGAAATAAAATTTGTTCTGCACAGCACTCTTAAAACTTTTTACCTGACGATACTGTATAATGAGAGAATCACATGACTGCAAACGATCACATGCTTCCACGATGGCATCGATTCACGATAAGGCTAGTGCTTCGAAATCTTAGAAGCGTGAATGAAAATATGCCGCTGATGTAAAAAAGTGTGAAGACATGGCATGCGATTTTCTGGAGACAGGAAGTATCAAGAGTTTATCATAAAATGGTTAGCCGAAGATAAGTGAAGAGACGGGTGAACATATGAAGGAAAACCTCTGCAGGGTGTCGATGTCGCGAAGATTCTTAAAAATGCATGTACTGTAATCCACGCTGTTTACGATCATCTAGAACTGTATAATCAAAGACTTACAAGCTAATGATTAAGCACTATCCGTGTGCGTCGACTTCCTCATTCGGTCTCCAAAAACATTGCATACTATTACCTAAGTGCTCTTAATTTGATAAACGCTATTGAACTGTTTTTGATATACGCTGTTGATCAGCGTACGATTTTGGCTCTGCATTATGCTTTCTCCTGAATAGAGGCTATCTCGAAAACACATATTCTTATGCAATCACTTAATCTTTCCACCGTGCATTTTTGATATGTATAGCTTTAAAAATCAAAACTTTATTTCGCTGAAGTATCTCGGTTCGTAACAAATATATAGTGAGTTTAAAAGTAGAGCGAATTTTTGAAAAAACATTATCTTATACGTTCGTATAGTTTATGAACTTATCGTTCATAAACTAACATCGAACTTACCGAACATCGAACTTATCTAATACTTTAAACTAACATCGAACTTAAATGCTCATATGTATTTTTCAACTTCAAATGTTTTTCGAGTGCAAGTTTTAAGACTGTTGCAGTTAAAATGGACAGTGTCGCAAGGTCATCAAGACAGATATTTATTTTAACTGATATGGAGTTTGTTTTCTTGAAACTCTCAAAGGTCTCATTAGTTTTGACGAAACTTTAATGACTGATACTTTTAAGGTAATCAATAGATCTTTAGTGCCATAATCTAAGCCATTTTCATACGTTATTTTAGTAAGTTGCTTCTATTGCTTAGTTTTGTTTGATGTGTTGTATTTTAAGTTGCCTAGGCAAATGACAACTAGCAGCCGATTTACACTGCTTGGTTCCGGTTATACTTGTATTATACTTTTTCCTATCAATAATATAACGCTTAATAATAGTTTTAAGCTGTTTAAGTTCTGTGTTCGTAATGGGATTTTTTGGAAAAGAACATACGCTGGCTTTTTAGACTTTTATGAATGCAAATATTGATACAAGAGATGTCCTTCAAAGTATTTGAGTAATCAAGGTTTGTCATCACTAATAACGTTTATATCGGAAGTAATTTACTTTAATGCATCATTTACCAATAAATTTTGTTATAAAGTGTTGGAAAATAAATTTATATTTTGCATTTTACATAAGGTACATAAAACGATGTATTGCCGTGTAAAAATATAAAATAAAATTTTTTCATTGCATTCGTTAATATCACACAAAATGATATCATTTTATGTATATTTTTGATTACTTAGTCGATTATTCGATAGCTCATATAAAGGTGATTATATCATACAAAACACCTTTTAGATATATAGATAGATATAGATATATACATATATGAACAGATACACTGCAATGGTAAACATAAAATTACACAATAAACAATCTTAGGTTTACATTACTTTTACACAAAATTCGGTACTTACACATTATCCCGTCGACCGTTGGCGGAAATTTCGACAACGGTCACCGTCGCTATTGCTGAATTCTAAAAGAAATGGTAACCCATAATTGGCGCTAAATTGCGTTACTTGGCCTGTCGACTGGACAATACGCAAATATCCAAAACCAGATTTTGTTCCTTAAGTACAGGGACTTCTTTAACTAATTTCTTCGAAATTGGTAGGTATTTTTATAAAACCGTCACCTAGCTAAAGCAGAGGTTTGCCTAAATTCTTACAGTTACACCCTATCTGCTAAATTGAAAGGGTATGAAATAGAATACTTTTAATAATTTGGAATTAATATATCATAATGTGCAAGCTGAATAGAAAGCTCTCGCACGATTATAATATTTGATATCTAATAATATAAACATTTATAACGCAGAAGCGCTAATGTGGGGGGGGAATAAAGCGAAAAACTCATTTCAGAGTTATCAAAAACTCTTACAACTGAATGTTACGTTTGAAAACTTGGTGATCATGACTAATATCCTAATTTACAATGAGATACAGTTTATGACTAATACCTAATGTACAGCACGCTATTTCGTCCCGGTCGTTAATGAAATTGCAGAAAATAACAGCCTCGCTTCCATCAGAACACACACCTTTTAAGTTATTATTATAACTTTTTTTAAAATTGCATAAAATTGGTAAATATAAATAAGGGAAAAAGGTATAAACAGAGTTTTTACATGAATGATTTCTAAATTTCAGTTTATCTCGTAAAGTGTAGTTCAGAAATCTGTTCGAATACCATAGTAACGAAATAGCGATTTTTCAGTTTATTTCAGTTAAAAAGTAGTCAGAGGAAAGAAGGAAGGAGAGGCTCGAACTGGTTTTTGTCATTCGCTCCCTTGAAGCAGTGACACCTTTCTAGTTTATGAAACAGTCAGTGACTCTATATTAAGGTGTGAAGGTTTTGAGGAGGTAAACATTTTGTAATTACGTCTTAAATATAGGTATAAATGTATGTATTTGCTTTTTCTTCAATATTTTGGAATCCTAAATATGTGAAAGATCAAATAACAATTCATTCTGAACGAAATTAAATGTTACATTTTTCGCGAGCTCTCAGCAATTTTAATCTGAATGAAATTTGAATAAATTTATAATATTTGAATGCTAATTATATTAGAAAGAAATTTTAAGGTAATTCGACTTTATTTGCTTAACGATTACAAAAATTAAAATAAAAGTTTTTTGTATTATTAATATTTAAAATCACGCATTATTTTTCTCTAATTACAGAGCTTCTTTCTGAAATACTTTCTCAAATATGAGATACTGTCAACTTCTCAGGTATCGCTTAAATCAAAATCATCTCTCTAATTAATGCGCTGCTTGTTTTGTTTCAAATTAGAGCCCTTTTTATTTAAGTTGTTATTATGTTGTTGTTCTTATCAATTTCACTTGTCTGATAAAGGTCAGCACAAGCCCATGGCATCGTGGCAAGGAGTTATATGCGCCTGGCGTTGGTAACAGCCAGTAGCACCATATAGGTGACACCCCGACTTTAGCTCAGTTTAGGCCCAAATTTTGAGAGACAGCATCCCGGGCAGGGACGGGACTGAGGGCCTTTCACCCTTCTTCTCTTACCGCCGACCTCTCGAGAGGACTTTCGGCTTGCCGCGTATTTAGAGTACCCCATGCCGCATAGACATTATACTTTTATAAACATCCATGCTTTCTCCGAGATTTGAGCCCAGGCCCTTTGGTACGACT